GCCACCGCCGCCGCCTCGGCCAGGCCCAGCTGCTTGGCGGCCGAGTCCGAGTCCTCCATCCGGACTCCGCCGAGCCCGCCCGAAGGCGCCGGCCGGGGCCGCCCGAAGACCGGGACGGAGCCCGAAGCGCGCCGCCCGAGCTGGCCGCCCGAGCCGGGCCGAGCCGGGCCGAGCTTGACCGAGGAGGACTGCCCGAACCGAGCCGAGCTGAGCCGAGCCCGCCCGAAGCCGGCCGCCAAGCCGAGCCGGGGCCGCCCGAACAGGGGCCGAACCGGCACGAAGCGGCCCTGTCGAGTCGAGCCGAGCCGAGGCCTAGAGTCCGGAAACGAGGGGGGCCGAAGTGGTCCGAAGTGCGGAGCCGAGTCGGTCCGAATTGGTCCGAGGCCGCACGAGGGTTTCCGAGAGGCTCTGCGCTAGCCCTCCTCAGGGCCTAGAAGGCCGCGCCGGCCGTGGTCCCCAGTCAACGGGGTCCCCTACGGTGAGGCCGACTCCGCCGGCCTCCGACGCAACGCGACCCGGCCTAGAGAACCTTGCGCTGCAGGCTCCTCCTGCACCCGCCGCCCGCGGGAGCCGAGCCCGCCCGAGAAGGAGCCGAGCGGAGCCGAACGTTCCCGAGCAGGGATCCTCACGAGCGAGCCTCGGCTCTCCGCCTCCTCCTGTCCGAAAGTGCCCGAGCGCTGTCGGACGGCCTAATCGGGCCTCGGCCACGGTTCGGGATCAAGTCCCGAAACGCAGCGCCGTCGAGCCCCTTCGGGAGCAGAAGCGAAAATGGCCGAAGCGACGCCGTTTGCGTCCGGCGCCGAGAGGCTGCCGGGATCGCGGGGCGGGGCGGGGCCCCGGGACGGGCCGCGGCAAGATGGCGGCCTCGCGGCGAGGTGAGGGCTTGGGTGCGGTGTCGCGGAGGCCTAGGGGGGTCTCGGAGGTCGCCCCGGGAGAGGGGTTTGGTTGGTTCGGTTCCTCCTGGTGCGGGGAAGGCCGAGCTGCGGGCGCAGCTCGCCGGGGTCGTTAACCGGTGGACTTCATGTGTCCACAAGGTGAGATCCTGGCCCGGTGAACCCGTCCCGGGTCCGCGCCGCCGCTTCCCATGAACGCGCGGGGCGGTGGAGCCACGGCGGTGAGGTCACGGCTCCCCCGAGGGGACGGTCGGCGCCCCCCGACCCAGCGGGCCCGCAGCGAGCGGGACGGGCTCGTCCGGGGCCGGCAGGAAGGGGACACCCCGGTTTGGAGTGGGCCCCGCCTGCGGGCCCAGTGGGACCGGCTTCTGGAGCGAAGGTTTGGATTCTCGCCGGGATTGCCGGCTCACGGGCTCGTCCTGTCACGGTGGCGCCCTGCGCAGGGCGGCGGGGGGCCGGCCGGTCGGCGGCCCATTCGAAGTCCTGACCGCTGGGTCTGTAAGAGCCCGCGCCGCACAGCTCGTGGAACCAGAGCAAGGTACGCGGGCGGCCCCGGGCGCTCACTCGGCCGGATGGAAAAGGCCAATTTCCACATCTCAGCTGTCAGGCTCCGAAATTACTCGTGCGAAGAGAGGCTGGGACTAGACGGGAGCGGTGAGCTGGGCAGCTGACAAAGAAGCCGACTCTGTGGTCTGAGCTTCAGACAGTTTCCCGGCACCGGGGTTCCCAAGCGCCAGACCTTTGTGCAAGGCCACGGGTACTGAGGTTCGCGCATTTTCATTTGGTGGAAAATTACGTTTACACCAGAGCGATCCGCTTCACACCCCTCGTATATCACCCAAAGAAAAACATTCTGTTTGCTTTCACATTTAACTTCTGACGGCCACATTGTTATTACAGTGAATCATTGACAAAAAATGCGAAGTTCTAAAAGCCACGGTTATCTTTAGTCAGAATGAGCCTCTTTCTGTAGATCTGAAATCGTTAGAGCAGCATATCTAATTGTAGCTACCTTTCATGTCAATTATTTAAATCCTGTGACGCTGAAGGTTTTTCAACAGCATTTTTTCCCTGAGCCCCATCATCTCAAGCATAACAATGGGCAACTGGCAAATAGAGCTGAAGTTCTGAAGCGAACTGTCAAGAGAAGGGTCAGAAGGGAGCAAAGTCCCTATTAACGTGAAATCCACCCAAATAATGACAGGTATCGAGGCAGCCTAGGTTAGCTTGGGCCTGGAAAAAGAAGGGATCGGGTTTAGAGAGCACCCTTCCCATATCGCGATGAAGGTTTATTAATGATCTGTGCTCGACACCCTCTGAGGCTCCCCGTGCTCAGCACATTCTGCCTCTCCATCACCCGTGTCCTGTGCTGACCCATGTAAGACCCCCACCCAAGTGAGACTCCCAGAGGACCTCGAATCTGCCAAGGAAGCAAAGGCTCACCCAGGCTGGGAGTTTCTCTCTTGCCCCCTGGTGACTAAGGAGGAAATGGAGTAGGAGAGAGCACCGTCCTACTCGCTGCTGGCAAATTCTGAGTCGTTATTGGCGCGTCACCGTATACTGTCATCTGGAGACGCGGGCAGGATGTCTAACTGCTGTGTGGCGGGAGAGGTTTGGAAAGAGACAAGATTGCTGGCTTAGGAGATTCTTAATTTGGGGAGGGATATTTGGGGCCATGAGTAAAATTCCAGAGGAAAGCAAACATCTATTATCAATGACAGAAACTTGTAACCTGAATCAAAAGACGTTTTCATCTATGTACGTGTGGCAGATATGAGATGAGAACAGCTGTGTGTCTGGTTTCTCTCCTGGCATCTGGCCTCAGGTGTGGATCTGGGCTTCGCCTGTGGGTACGCCCTGACTCCCAGCCTCAGGTTCAGAAAAGCAGATGGTCAGATCCTCCCTGGAGGGACAGTGGGTGCAGAGGTGCTGCAAAGGAACCTAGCTGCGGGCCATAAATCCGCGGCAACGGGAGAACAGGCTGCTGGAGCATCCTGGTAGGACTTGGGACCTCTCTGACTGTACCTTCTCTTCCAGGGAGAGCTTCCTCCATGGTGGTATCCCGCTGCTGCATCCCTGTGGCCCTCCGTCAGCCCAAGACCCAGGCCTCCCAGGCACCTGAAGTTGGCCCTTGGCCCCTGCTGTTTGCTGCTTTAAGCCCCCAGCTCCCAGCCCCACCTTCCCCATAAGTTCTGAGTAGTCATTCCACTGAGTGGGAAGGGCGTCCACTAACAGCTGGAGAGGGTTGATACAACCTCCTCCACTGGTGCCTCCTGCCCAGCCCCACGCCTGACTCCCACTGGGCCCAGGGGGGCAGGAACGCGAAAACCCCTCACTTGGAAAACTTACAGACTTGTTTTAGCGTAAACAAATATGGAGTGTTCAGAGCTCAGGAAAATGGCTAGTGGGTATTAAACTGCCCCCCAAAAGAGAGAAAGACATTTTATTTGAAGAAAGTGAAAAAGGTCACTTTTTGCTCTCAATGTTATAACTGGGACCTAGGTCAGGGTGATGCCACCTGAGGAAGCCCGGGGTGCCGAGGCCGTCCTGCCTGCAGTCACCAAGGATGTGCCCGGTCCTCTTGCTCTAGGCTAGGATGTCCCCTGGGGGGAAGCCCCAGCCCCACCCCGGAGCCCACAGGAGCCCTGCCAGGTGTGGTGACACCAGGAGGGGTGTTAAAGGAAGCCAGGCAGGGGGCCGTCGGCCACGTCTTCGTGGCCACCCGCAGGTGCCTGGGCTGGACCCACGTGTTTGCAGGGCCTCTGGACAGGTGGTGGAGCAGCCCCTTCTGTCCACTCTCCCCGGGTGGGTGCCCTCGGGCAGGGTCATTTGCTGGGCCTGGGAGTCCTTAACTGCTGGCCAGCTCTCATCGCTCCCTCTTCAGATGCTGCTCTGTCTGAGTGGAATGTACTATGCCCTTTATCTCCTAGCTGCGCTCCTGCTGGCTGTGTATAAAAGTAAGTCTCGTGCGAAAAGGCAGCTCAAAGGTGTGGGTACCCTGTGTCCTGTAACGGGAGCTCAGCTTTGTTGCCCGTTTTTCTCCAGGTCAGGTTTTCACTTATCCTCACGGTTACCTGGTCCTTGACCTGACTCTGCTCTTTCTGATGGGGATTCTGGAAGCAATTCGGTTATACTTGGGTGAGTTGACTGAAAAGCACAGTTGAGATTGTTGTGAGGTTTATGTGTGAACCTTTACACGTTGATCATTTTATAACATGGTTCTTAGAGACACTTTTGATTTAAACTGCTTACCCATGGTTTTGCAGGCCTCGCCTTACAGTGTCATTAAGTATTAATTTGTTTATCCAGAAGCTTTGTCCACAAGACGACGAATATTGGCCACGTCCTTGGTGAGGATGCTTCCTGTTTGGAAGCATATTGTGCACAAGCTCCTGTGTAACAAACAGCACTGAGGTTAGAACCCAGCTCAGTCATCAACCCTGGGGCCCTAAAACATTCACCCCCACCTCCTTCCTCCCCTTCCGTTGGCCTCAGTGGTCAGGAGGAGAAGGATCTGGAAACTTCTGTCAGGGCCCCACCAGGGCAGCAGGGCCTGGAGGGTGAAGGCTCCCTCGCCTCCCCAGTGCGGCTCCTGGAGGCCCCCAGCCAGAATCTTGCTCGGCCGACCCCCCTCACGTCCTGAAGCTCAGACAGTATAGGAGCCCCAAGAGAGCTCCCCCGCTCCCTCCACAGCTCACCATCAGGGCCCATGTCTCCCCATCCCCAGTCACAGGCACACGGACATGAGCACATCTCTTCTAAACGGGATCACGCTGTGTGTTCCGCTGACACGTCTGAGAAACGCTCCTGCCTCTGGAATGGCTGATAGAACAGCCGGCACATCCCGGGCCCCTGCACACGCATACCCTCGACACAGACGAGCCCGTGCCCATGGGAGGGTGGCAAATGGCACTAGAGTCGCTGGGCATCCGCAAGCCCCTCACGCTCCTGGGGCACCCTGGGCACCCGTGGCCGGGACAGCTGGAGATCAGCGATTTCCATGCTGACCCATTTGTTTGTAAAACGTGCAGTTGCTTTGTTTTTTGTAAATATGCGTGCAATTTTCCACAACAACCTTAGCCCAAAGTGAACTATTTTTGGAAATTTTAAACAAAATCTTCTCAGTCAATGTGGAATTAGGAAAAGGTGTCAGAATGCAGTTGGAATTGTCTTTAGAAAACCAAATTCCCTCTCCCACTCACACAACTGACCCAAAGACCAAGAGTAGAACATCACAGCCTCGGTTGGCTTTCTTCCTCACTAAGGAAGACATGCCCCTTTTTGCGTTTGCTTTCCGACACTTTGAAGAGACCCTGCAGTGGTCACAGTGGGATCTTTCACTCAAGTCCTCAAGCATCACATGGTGGTCAAAGCTGGCACTGGTCTCACGGCCACTCTTGAGGGGGTCAGTGCTCCGGGGCCCATGCGTCCCAAAGCCCAGCGCTCACCCAGCACGTCTGTTCTGCTTTCCAGGCACCAAGGGCAACCTGATGGAAGCCGAGGTACCGCTGGCCGCCAGCCTGGTCCTCACGGTGTGCACTGCCCTGCTGTCTGTCTACTTCCTGCTCTGGCAGACCCTGGTGCTGTGGGCAGACTCGGCCCTCAGCGCCGTACTCCTGGCGCTCCACGGCCTAGAGGCCGTCCTGCAGGTGGTGGCCATCGCCGCCTTCGAGGGCTAGGTGGGCAGTGTCCGGCCCGCGGGACAGCCCTGGGCAGGAGACCCTCCTCAGAACCAGACTGTGCCCCAGCCGTCACCTCCCCCACTGTCGGTTGCTGAGCGGGAAGGACATCTTCGTGCTGACCTGCCTCGGTGTTTGTTAGAGGGTCAGGTGGTGTGGAGGGTCTATGAGGCGGAGGTGGGGTCGGGAACCAGGGCAGAACAAGGTGCTGGGCAGGGGCTGGGTGTGGCGGAAGCAGGGGTGGGGCTGTCCCGGCCAGTCTTCGGGGAATCGCGGGGACGTCTGTGGCTGGTGGGGATCTGGCTTCAGCAGCCACCGACATCCAGGGTGCAGAGGGGGACGAGGCCTTCGGAAAGCAGGCAGCCAGGCCAGTGCCCTCGCGGTGTCCGTGGCATCTCCCTCTCAGGCCGAGATCGGCCGTCTCTGCTCTCCCTGCAGCTTCGGGGTGGCACAGGGACCAGGGGTCCTGCTCTGCGGGCCAAGCCCCAGGCAGATGGTGCACTCTGCCGCGCACAGGAGGCACCTGCCGAGGGCCAGGCAGCTCGGGGCTGGGGTGTTTCCCCTCAGCCATGATACCTTTCCCTTGGGGATTCTGGAGAAAGGCGAAGGTGACCTGGAAGCCCCAGCGCAGAGTCCCCCGTAGGGGTGCTGTCCAGCTCCCAGGCCCTCTGCAAGTGCTCCTGGAAGGGGTCTGCGCCGATGTTTTCTAATGACTTCCCTTGGTCTCGATTTCACATTTTCTACGTCTGGAGTAATGTTGTGTTTGAGTATCTGGATATTCTCTCTTCACGGTATTTTTAAATAAAGAAGCTTCTCTACCTCTCTGAACTGCTCCTGGCTGCAGCCACCTGTCTCCTCCAGGGTTCTCCCTTCATCTCTCGGCACAGGCCGCGTGCCCGCTGCAGGCCCCACACAGCAGCCCCGGAGCTGCGCTCCCCCAGCCTGGGCCTCCCCGGGGCTGGCCTCAGCGAGGGGGACTGGTGGTGTCAGCCTCGTCAGTCTTACCCTTAGGGGGCCGGTGGGAGCAGAGAGCTCTCTGCTCCGCCAGGACCAGTGTGCGCCTCTAGCCCCAAAGGCCAGTGGGGGCATCCCCCTGCTTACCCTCCTGTGCACTCATCAGGGCTCCATCCTTTCCCGCCCACATGGGCTCGGGGAGGCCGCGATGGCGGCACCTGCTGTCTTTGGGAACCTCAGCCCCTCCCCTGCAGACCCAGGCAGCAAGATACCTGTTGTCCTCCCGGTTCACAGCCTGCCCGAGAGTCTGGGCCAGGCCCTTGGCATCCCCATTGCTTTGGCCACAGGGCATACCACACCCAAGGTAGCCACCGAGCAGCCTGGGACTCCAGGCCCCCAACTGCATTCTTGAGGGTGTCAATGCTCCCAATCACGTTGATTTCAGAAGCAGAGAGCTCCCACCTCAGCTGCTCCCCTCCCTGTGTGCCTCCCTCGTTTTGCCCTTTCAGGCTCAGACTCCTGGAAGGGCTGGCGTGCTGTCCCTTCTGGGGACGTCGTCAGCAGAAGGGAGACAGAACCAGGAAGCCAGGCCTTGCCAGGGCTCTGCGGCAGGGCGGGGCTGGAGGACGAAGGCCACTCCCTGCGCCCCTGTGCGAGCTCACCAGTAACACCCCAGACAGGCAGGAAGGCCCTGGCGATGTGTGGAGGGACAATGCCGCTGGCCTTCCAGGACACTGTGTCTCCTTAGCTGGGGCTCCTGGCAAACACCAGCTGCGCGGCCTTCTAGGACCACGGACCTGGGACGCTCTGTCCTGGCACAGCTTTCCTGCTCCCCCCACCCCAGGACAACAGTGGGAGCCTTGGGGTGCCTGGGGGTGCCCACCACCACCCGGCCTGCCCTCCTTACCCAGCTTGGTGGGCACGGCCATCCTGGGGGTCAGTTCAGCAGGCTCCTGGCAAACACCAGCTGCGCGGCCTTCTAGGACCACGGACCTGGGACGCTCTGTCCTGGCACAGCTTTCCTGCTCCCCCCACCCCAGGACAACAGTGGGAGCCTTGGGGTGCCTGGGGGTGCCCACCACCACCCGGCCTGCCCTCCTTACCCAGCTTGGTGGGCACGGCCATCCTGGGGGTCAGTTGAGCAGGAGGAAAGACAGAACCGCGGGCAGAGCTTGGGGCCTGGCCTAAAGTGGAGGTCACTCCCCGGAGCGCCCTCACACCAACGCTGCCCTGGCACTCAAGGACAGCGTAGGCCACAGGCATCCTGACACCCCCCTCCCCGGCCATGGAATAACCCCACTCCTCAGGGGGTGCCCACACTGGGCTGGGCGACACAAAGAAAGAGACTTTAGGCGATCCCAGATCGTGGAGGAGGTATCCCCGCCCCCGACCTGGCAAGCTCAGGGAGCTGGGCTGCAGGGCCTCTGGCCCATGGTCCTACCTTTGAGACTCACTCAGACTAAAGCCTGGCCCTAGCGCTCCCTCCAGACCAGAGGAGCCCCAGTGGAAGAGGATGGGACTCGGCCCCGGGTCCTGGGGCATCTGAGGCTGGGGGCACCTGGCAGGGGCAGGTCTGACCTCCCCAGGGCTCCACGCCACCCCTCTGGGGTACAGGCAGCTGGGCTTGCCCCGGGTAGATCTCAGAGCAGCGTCGGGGCGCGCGGTCGCCCAGAGCACCCCAGCGAAGGATGGGCTCCCGGCCCCGCCCACCCGTCCACCAGCGCCCCCGCTTTAAGGGTGGGGTTTGCGCAGAGGGACCCGGGTGGCTGTGGGGACCGTCCGCGGGGAGCCGCGGTGGGGGCGGGGTCTGGAGCGGGGGCGGGGTGGGCGGGGCATCCGCATCCCACCCCCGCCCCTGCCCAGTGCCCGCCCGCGCACGGTGACTCTAACCTGCCGCTCAGGTTCCTCCCCGCGCCCCGCCCCGGCTCCTCCGCGCGTCCCTCTCTCCTCTGGAGCCAGGCTCCGACAGACGGGCGGACGGACGCGCGGACTAAGGGACCAGTGGGCGGCCAGGCGCGGGGCCGCGAGAGGAGCAGGTGAGTGCCCCGCCTGGCGCCCGCACCCGCTTTGGCCCCGGAGCCACAGGGGAGCCGAGCGCACGGAGGGCGGGCTGCCCGGGCCTCAGTTTCCCCAGGTGGCAGCGCGACGCGGGGCCCTGGCCCGGGTCTGCAGGCCGGGCCGGGGCGCATGGGGCATCGGGCGCGAGGAGTCGCGCCGGGCCCGCGGGCTTTCCCTGGGCTGGTGGCCGCAGCCGGGTTCCTGCGGCCTGGCCCGCCCCGTCCGGTCCTGGGGCGGCGCCGTGCGCTGGGGATGTTTGTAAGCCAGTGGCTTCTGAGTCAGCCGGCCGCCTCCCAGCCCTGGGGCTCGGTGGCGGGAACCCCCTCCTCCAGTGAAGCGGTGTTGAGGAGGTCAGCCCCTGCCCCTCAAAGGATCTGCACCACTGTTGCCGGGGCAGGCTGGGAGCTCCTCTGGCGTGCTAGCCGGCTTCCTGTGGGTCAGAGGAAGGCTGAAACGCAGGGCCAGGGAAGCATCGGGCCGGGGTCAGGCTCTCGGTTAAGGTTGGGGTGTGGGAGTTTCAGGGAGGAGGCTGGGGGGCCGAGCTGCCGGGGCCTGTGTGCCTCCAACCTGGGCTGGGCTGGGCTGGGCTGGGGCAGCCCATGTGCCTCAGGTGTCCCGGTGGCAGGGCAGGCGGGTGAGCAGGGCTCCTGGTGCTTCTGAAGTGCGCCACCGACCCCCTGTGCCCCACCCAGATGTGGTCAGCCCCAGCTGCGCTGGGAGGCCCAGCCCAGCTGGCGCCGCCTCTGCTCCCGCACCTCCCCCACGGCCTGTGGCGGGGCCTCTCCTGGCCCTGCCCAGTGCAGTCAGGGGTCCAGCGCCGCCCAGCTCTCCGCCTGCCTCTGCCTCCCAAGCGCAAGCTCGGCGCCCTGCTCCCCACCTACAGCGTCCCAGGCATTTCCCTCCCCCAACCCGCAGGGCCCAGACCTGGGCACAGCCAGAGCCCCAGGGTCTCCCCCATCCCGGGCCCCACCTGGCTCCCTGGGCCTTAAGCCGACTCCTCCCCAAGGTCGGTCAGCTGCGAGCTGGAATTTGAACTTGGAGCTGGTCCCTCTGCCCTCCCTGCCCTGCTGGGCCTCCTCCCCCACCCCTGCCTGACCAGGCACCATACTCGGCCTTCCTTTGCACCCGGAAAATGGCCACAGTGAAACCAAAGTGCAGCCTGGGCCCTGGGGCCCTCAGGGCTAGTGTCATCCCCACCCCAGTCAGCTGAAGGAGCCCCCTTACTCCCCGCTGGAGCCGGCCTGTAAGTGGCCCCTCCCCCAGCTGCTCCCCAACCCAGACGCCTGGACCCACCTCCCTGGCTGGCCCTGAGGCCCCCCACCCCGCCCCCTAGGGGAGGCCGAGTGCCACGACCTAGGTGTCTGTGTGCCCACAGGCCTCGGTTTCGCCCAGGTGTGTGTGTGTATCTGGACACACGTGCCCAGCACCCTCGGCTCAGCCCGCCAGGAATCCCATTAAGCAAACACTCGGGCTCACCTACTGAGGTCATGAGCATTCCGGACATTCTCCACGGACAGATGGACAGAGGAATCTGGCCAAGCCGGGACCCTCGGTGGCATGTGGGAGGGGGTAGCCTGAAGCCCCCGGGTCCCTCACACCTCCTGGGAGCCCTCCCTGTAGGTAGTACCTGGACAGGCTACCAGGCACTTGTACAAGCTACCAGGTACCAGGTACTACCTGCCCTGGATACCAGCACCCCTGGCTTGCGACCCAACCCAGCAGCCCCCTAAACACTGAAGCCGCAGATGGATGGCATCACTGGTGACATCTGATGTGGCACAGTGTGTACCCAGAGGTCCCCACGGAGCACAGAATCCCACAGGACATGTCAGCCTGGCCCAGGGGCAGCAGGCTCTGCTCACCCCTCAGAGGGTGGGCTCCGGGTCCCCAGGCCCCCTACCCTTCGCCCTGGGCTCCAGCCTCATCTTTTGCTGCCTTTCTCCCTTGTCTGGCTCCCACCTGCCTCAGGGCCTTTAAACATGTTGTTCCCTCTGCTTGGAAGGTGCCTCTTCCCCCGACCCCCCTTCAGAGCCCCCAGGACATCTTCCTCGCAGCCCCACTCCAGACAGCCTCTGGGGGTGGGACCCCTCTGCTGGCACGTCCTGGGGGTCCCTGTAGTGGACCGAGGGTCCAGGGAGAGATGGGGCTGCAGTGAACACCAGCTGGGTTGTGGAGCAGGGTGGTCCTGGTGTGTCCGGAAGGCAGGGCTCTGCTCCCTGAGGACCGCCTGCCCAGGCACCCTGGGGAATCTGGCCAGGCCATCGGGGCTCCAGGCCCTGGATTCAGGGAGGGGTGGGGAGGGGACCCAGGCCCTGTGCTGGGGTAGCAAGGCCCCGGCCAGGTCACGATAAGGTGTCAGCTTGGCTCCCCTGTGCACTCAGGTGTGGGCCAGGCACTAAGCCCTGGACTCAGGCCACTCTGAGGTCTGCCCTCTCACCGCCAGCCACCGTCGAGGACGCCATGAGCCAATCAGGGTCCGTGAGCTGTTGCCCGGGTGCTGCCAAGTGAGCCCCCACCCCCACCCACTAGGCCCCCACCACCCGCTACCCACCCGTAGTCCCCAGGGAGGGGTGCGGCACGGGCTCCACCCTCACCAGCCCCTCCCCTGCAGTGGCAGCCTGGGCCGGTCTGACGGTGTGGCCAAGATGAGTGCCAAGGACCTGTTTGGTGAGTGAGGTTTGCGGACAAGAGGCCTCAGGGGCCAGCTCGGCTGGGAGGGTCTCGCCCATTCCCTTCCCCAGGGCTGTGCCAGGCCCCCACCCAGGGAGACGCAGGTCAGCCCTGGGCACTCAGAGAAGGCCCCTGGACCCTAGTCAACCAGCAGGTGCTCAGGTCCCTCCCCCAAACTCTGGCCACCGAATAGCCCTCCCCACAGTGAGCCAGTAAGGGGAGAGGCCTTGCTAATAATTCAGGGAGCATCAATATTGATGCTCTGAGCTCTTCTCGCCACCCGATCCTCCGAGGGCGGGGGCTCCTGCTGGACTGACTGCCAGGTGTCTGCTCTGGGAGCGCGGGGCCTGGCCGGCCCCCACCTCCCCCAGCTCTGACCCTCCCCCAGCCATGCAGTGCCGCCTCTGGAAAGCAAGGAGCCCCAGGGAGGGACAGGGAGAGGCAGGGAGATGGTAGCTGGGAGCTCTTAGAGTTGGGGGAAGCCCTGGACCAGACCCCTCCCCAGGAAGATGGGCAGGGGGCCTCCAGCTCCAGGACAGACCCCAGACACAGTTGTGCCATCACCACTCTGAGCTGGGGGTCCCTCCTGGGGACTAGGGGAGCTCCATGTTCTGCCAGGAGGGGCCGTCCCTCCATTCCGTGCCCTTGTGTCCTTGCTGGCGGCCACAGAGGGCCCACAGAGCAGCCCTCCTCCCCTGCACTCTGCCCTCCCTGCGGCCCCACCTGGTGTCCCGCCCTCAGGGGTGGGTGACGTGTCTCCTTTCAGAGCAGAGGAAGAAGTATTCCAACTCCAACGTCATCATGCACGAGACCTCCCAGTACCACGTCCAGGTGAGCCCCTCGGCCCACGGCGCGCTCCTGTGCTCCGCGCTCCCGGCTCCCCGGGCCTGTGGGGAAACCGAGGCCGGGGGATAAGTGGTCCCACAGCAGGCAGCCTGTTCTGGGCTCACCCCCAGAGCCTCCCTCCAGTCCTGGGGAGCCCCCGGTCCGAGGGGCACAGGAACCCTGGAGCTACAGCAGGGAGAGGGAGGCCAGGGGCAACACAGGAAGGCAAGGACAGCTCTGGGTGCCCCTGGAAACCCCAGTGGGAGGGAAACTGTCATCCTGGCCTCAACAGGGAGCTAGACTAGGAGGGAGGAGTTTCTGAGCTCCTGCAGGGACGTCCTCGATGGCTAATCCCATTCAGCCTGGACAGCCGAGATGGGTAACTGCACTCTAGATGAGCCGCCAGCTCCGGAGGCCTCCGTTCCTAGGTCACTTTCAATTCACACTCAGAGCTCAGGAAATATGTTTTTAAAATGACCTTCCTGCTCGTGGCAGCCGGCCAAGTTCCTGGTTCCTGGTCATCGTCCAAACCTGCAGGACAACAGGGCTGGGAATGGCTGAAGTGGGAGGAGGGAGGGGGAGCCAGGATCAGGAAGGTGGGGGGCCTGGACCAGGAAGGTGGGGAGCCTGGACCAGGAAGGTGGGGAGCCTGGACCAGGAAGGTGGGGAGCCTGGACCAGGAAGCAGGGAGTCCTGGACTAGGAAGCAGGGAGTCCTGGACTAGGAAGCAGGGAGCCCTGGACCAGGAAGCGGGGAGCCCTGGACCAGGAAGCGGGGAGCCCTGCACCAGGAAGCGGGGAGCTCTGGGCCAGGGAGTGGGGAGCCCTGGACCAGGAAGGTGAGGAGCCCTAGACAAGGAAGCGGGGAGCCCTGGACCAGGAAGCGGGGAGCCCTGGACCAGGAAGTGGGGAGCCCTGGACCAGGAAGCAGGGAGCCCTGGACCAGGAAGCAAGGAGCCCTGGACCAGGAAGCAAGGAGCCCTGGACCAGGAAGCGGAGAGCCCTAGACCAGGAAGTGAGGAGCCCTGGAGCAGGAAGGTGGGGAGCCCTGGACCAGGAAGGTGAGGAGCCCTGGACTAGGAAGCAGGGAGCCCTGGACCAGGAAGTGGGGAGCCCTGGACCAGGAAGGTGGGGAGCCCTAGACTAGGAAGTGTGGAGCCCTGAACCAGGAAGCGGGGAGCTCTGGGCCAGGAAGTGGGGAGCCCTGGACCAGGAAGGTGAGGAGCCCTAGACCAGGAAGCGGGGAGCCCTGGAACAGGAAGCGGTGAGCCCTGGACCAGGAAGTGGGGAGCCCTGGACCAGGAAGGTGGGGGACCTGGATCAGAAAGATGAGGGGCCTGGACCAGGAAGATAAGAACGTCCCTCCCCTTAGAACCCTCCATGCCCACAGAAGCCAGGTGAGTCACTGCTTTCTGAGCCTCAGTTTTCTCATCTATACAGTGGGTGCAATGAGACATGGGAGTCCCTAGGGTTCTTGCATTGGACTGTGTTGCTGATCAGCCCTCCCTGCCAACCTGGGCAGGCAGGGGCCATCTTGTGTGGTCAGCTCATGACTGCTGCAGGCTCAGCATCCAAGGGCAGCTCTGCCACCTCTCTGTGGGAAGGACTTTGCCCTCCTTGGTGAGGAGCCATCTGTGCCAGCGGGGCCTCCCAGCCCTTCTCCTAGACTTTGGTCCAAGCCAGCCTGTGGAAGGACCCCAGGCTGGGGCCACTTCTCCTGCCTGCCCAGCAGCCAGCAAGGTTGGGAATGTGGGCAGGTTTGCTGACCCCTCCCAGATGATGAAGCTGAGGCCAAGAGGGAGGGTGAGAGGTGGTGGCAATGGGAGGCGGGGCACCGAAGACTTGTGGGTTTATTTATTTATTTATTTATTTATTTACTTACTTACTTACTTATATGGCTGCGTTGGGTCTTCGTTGAGGTACTCAGGCTTCTCATTGCAGTGGCTTCTCTTGTTGTGGAGCACGGGCTCTAGGTGTGTGGGCTTCAATAGTTGTGGTGCACTGGCTCAGTAGTTGTGGGGCACGGGCTTAGTTGCTCCGTGGCATGTGGGGTCTTCCCGGACCAGGGCTCGAACTAGTGTCCCCTGCATTGGCAAGTGGATTCTTAACCACTGCACCGCCAGGGATGTCTCAGCATTTGTTTTATACAATTGAATTTTTGTATAGTGATTGAGTATCCTGAGACCTTGCTGAATTCATTTACTTGTTTCAGGAATTGCTTATAGGTTCATTGGATTTTTTTGTGTACGCAATCATTTTGTCTGAAAATACAGTACTTAATTTCTTAATTTTAGCCACTTTGTTTTTCTTGCTTTATTGCCCTGGCTAGAACTACCAGGACAGTGCTCAATAAAAGTAATGATAGTGGACATCCTTGCCTGTGTCCAATCTTAGAAGAGAGTATTCAGAATTCCCCATTTTATAAGCTGTATGTTTTTGTAGATACTCTTTACTAGAATGGGGAAGTTCCTTTCCATTTTTTGTTTGCTGAGAACTTTTATCATGAAAGTTGTTGAATTTTATCAAATGCTTTCTCAATTGAAATGTATTTACTATAGTTAGTGTAATGAATCATGCTGATTTTTTAAAATGTTAAACCAACCTTGCATTTCTAGGATAAACTTCATTTACTAATGGTTTATTATCCTTTTTATGTATTGACTTGACAAGACTAATTTGCTACTATTTTGTTAAGGATTTTTATTTATTTATTTATTTGGGGTACGCGGGCCCCTCACTGTTGTGGCCTCTCCCATTGCGGAGCACAGGCTCTGGACGCGCAGGCTCAGCGGCCATGGCTCACGGGCCCAGCCGCTCCGCGGCATGTGGGATCTTCCCAGACCAGGGCACGAACCCATGTCCCCTGCATCGGCAGGCAGACTCTTAACCACTGCGCCACCAGGGAAGCCCATTAAGGATTTTTTTGCATTAATATTTATTAGAACATTGGTCTATAATTTTCTTTTCCTGAAATGCCCTTGGCAGGTTTGGGTATCAGAGTTATGTTGGCCTTATAAAATGAGTGGAGAAATGTTCCTACTCCTCTAGTCTTCAGAAAGAGTTTATGGAAGATTGTTGTGATTTCCCTCTTAAGTATTTGTTAGGATTCACCTGTGAGGCCCTGAATATAGGGTTTCCTTTGTGGGAAGTTTTCTTTTGTTATGAATTCACTTTTATGCCTGTACGATCTGTAGTGATGTCCCCTCGTTCCTGCTGGTTATTGATCATTTGTGTTTTCTCTATTTTTTTCTTGATCAGTCTTGCTAAGGGTTTATCAATTTCATCAATCTTTTCAGAACCAACCTTGGGCTTTGTTGATTTTTCTCTGTTGTTTGTGTATTTTACTAGTTCATTGGTTTCTGCTCTTATTCTCCTTCTTTTCACTTACTCTGGGTTTCATTTGATTGTCATTTTCTAGTTTCTTAAGAGGAATGCCCAGACCATTGATATCAAGTCTTTCTTCTTTTCTGACTTTCATTTAAAGCTATAAAGCTCCTCTAAGTACTGCTTTAGCTATCTTCCACAAGTTTTGATGTGCTTGTTTTTATTATTGTTCAGTTCAGAATATTTTCTTTTTTAAAATTTTATTTTATTGGAGTATAGTTGATTTATAATGTTGTGTTAGTTTCAGATGTACACCAAAGTGATTCAATTATACATATACATGTATTCCTTCTTTTTCAGATTCTTTTCCGTTATAGGTTATTACAAGATATTGAATATAATTCCCTATGCTGCACAGTGGGTCCTTGTTGCTTATCTATTTTATATATAGTAGTGTGTGTACGTTAATCCCAAGCTCCTAATTTATCCCTTCCCCACCTTTCCCCTTTGGTAACCATAAGTTTTTTTCGAAATCTGTGAGTCTGTTTCTATTGTGTAAGTAAGTTCATTTGTATCATTTTTTAAAAATTAGATTCCACATATGAATGATATCCTATGATATTTGTCTTTCTCTGTCTTACTTCACTTATTTATTTATTTTTTTAATAAATTTATTTATTTATTTATTTACTTATTTTTGGCTGCGTTGGGTCTTCGTCGCTGCACGCGGGCTTTCTCTAGTTGTGGTGAGCGGGGGCTACTCTTCGTTGCGGTACGCGGGCTTCTCATTGCGGTGGCTCCTCTTGTGGAACGCAGGGTCTAGGCTCATGGGCTTCAGCAGCTGTGGCACGCAGGCTCAGTAGCTGCGGCGCATGGGCTTAGTTGCTCCGCGGCATGTGGGATCTTCCCAGACCAGGGCTCGAACCCATGTCCCCTTCATTGGCAGGCAGATTCTTAACCACTGGGCCACCAGGGAAGTCCCTGACTTACTTCACTTAGTATGATCATCTCTAGGTCCACCCATGTTGCTGCAACTCAGAATATTTTCTAAATTTCCTTGTGACTTCTTTGACCCATGGGTTGTTTAGATTTTTCTTCTTTTTAAGCATTTAACCATGTAAGCATTTATAGGTATAAATTTCCCCTTACTGTTGCTTTTGCTGCATCCCATAAGGTTTGATATGTTGTGTTTCCATTTTCATTTGTCTCTAGATATTTTCTTATTTCCCTTGTGATTTCCTCTTTCACTCATTTGTTGTGTAAAAGTGTGCTGTTTAATTTCTACGAATATGGACCCATGATTTATTTAGAAGTGTGTTGCTTAATTTCCAATTAATAGGGATTTGTAGTTATCATTCTGTTATTGATTTCTAATTTAATCCCATTCTGGTCAGAGAATACACTCTGTATGTTTTCAGTCATTTGGAATGCATGGGCAGAATGGTTGGGATGGTTTGGCTGTGCAGTATTTTGCTGACGATGCGCCTCATGCGGACAGACCAGCTGCCTGATAGTCACTGCAAGTTTCTGCCCACTCTCTTTCTTTTCTTTTCTTTTTAAAAATATTTATTTGTTTCTTTATTTGTTTATTTATTTATGGCTGCATTGGATCTTAGTTCCTGCACACAGGCTTCTCGCTTGATGTGGCGTGCAGACTCTAGAGCACGTGGGCTTAGTTGCCTGCGGCATGTGGGATCTTAGTTCCCCGACCAGGGATGGAACCCACGTGCCCTGCATTGGAAGGCGGATTCTCAACCACTGGACCACCAGGGAAGTCCCTCTTTTTTTTTTTTTTTTAAATAGTTATTTATTTGCTTACTTATTTTGGCTGCACCAGGTCTTAGTTGCGGCATGTGGGATCTTCGTCGTGGCATGCGGGATCTTTTAGTTGCAGCATGCAGGCTCATGGTTGTGGCATGCTAACTCTTAGTTGCAGCATGCATGTGGGATCTAGTGCCCCAAACAGGGATCGAACCCGGGTCCCCTGCATTGGGAGCACAGAGTCTTATCCACTGAATCACCAGGGAAGTCCCCTGCGCGCTCTCTTTCTTTTTTTTTTAGCATTTTATTCATTTATTAATTTGGCTGCGTCGGGTCTTAGTTGCGGTGCTCAGGCTCTCAGCATGTGGGATCTTAGTTCCCTGACCAGGGCTCGAACCTATGTCCCCTGAATAGGAAGGCGGATTCTTAACCACTGGACCACCGGGGAATTCCCCTGCCCAGTCTCCTTCTAACCTGCCCATGGACATGTAGGTTGGCTTCCAAGGGTTGTTCAGGGAGCAGCCTTGTACCCGTGCCACAGTCTACACGTGTACAGGTTGCCTTGAGATTGTAAGAGGGAAGCATGTGGGCTGGTCCAGTGTCATCAACTCCTCCCCAGAGCAGCCAGGCGAGTGTGGAGCAAGGGTTCTTCCTTCTCCATGTCTTAACCAGCCAGTGTAACCCACAAGGGCTTGTTAGTGCTGGGCAACAGAATGGGTGAAAACTCATTCCTAAAGTCATAGTCTCCAGCTTCAATTTGCAATTCTTGTATTGAATGAGTCTGCATATATACGTGTGTGTGTATATATATATATACTTTTTGGCTGCACCGTGCAGCCTGTGGGATCTTAGTTCCCCAACCAGGGATTGAACCCGGGCCCTCGGCAATGAAAGCGCAGAGTCCTAACCCCTGGACCACCAGGAAATTCCCCTGCGTATAATTTTCTGTATTAAAAGGTTACTTATATTTATTTTCCTATAGACTCTGTGTTCATACCTTTTGTCAATTTTTCTACTGAGCTGTTAATCTTTTACTTATTTACATATTCTTTCATTCTTTATTCATTTATCATTGGTATCCTTAATTATTAAACAAAATAGAGCTTTTAACAAAGTAAGAACTGTCACTGTAATGCATGTTGGCCTTTTCCTGTATCAAGAAAATTAGCCTACATCACCTCCATTACATCTATTATTACATCTGTGGGGTTTTTATATACTTTGTATGTGGTACTTGTTCTCAGGCAGAAATTTTTTTTTAATTAAGTCAAATTTATTGGTCTTGTCTTTTTATTCCCTTTTTTTTCTTTTCGGGGCCCCACCACGTGGCATGTGGGATCCTAGTTCCCTAACCGGGGATCGAACCCACACCCCCTGCAGTTTAAGCTCAGAGTTTTAAACCACTGGACCACCAGGAAGTCCCGGTCTTGTCTTTTGAGCATCTGGATTTTCTTCCTTGCTTAGCAAAGTCCCCCAGTGAAGGCCTTCCTGAGATTATCAGAAATTACCTAGTATTTCCTACTAGCACTTTCATGCTTCCATGTTCTGTGGTTAAGCCTTAACTGCTTGGAGTTTCTGTGAGTGTTCACCCAGCTGTCCCAGCATTGTTTACTGAATTCAGCAAAGGTCAGCAAAGACACATGGGGGATCCTGGAAGGAGGAGGGGCCTGAGCCAGGCTTGGAGAGAGAGGAGCGGGGCGGGCCAGGGGTCCCCATGGGCTGCTCATTCATTCCCATCACATTCACTAGGGGCCTGCTGGGGGCCCAGCACTGTCACAGGCACCGGGGAGGCAGCAGACAGAAAGCAAACAAAGAAGCATGTCGTGTCCAGCATAAAGTCGGATGATGATAAACACGAGGGCAGGTCAGGGACGTGCTGACAGTGAGCCTGTGGCCAGGCAGGCAGGAAGGTAGTGTCCGAGCACAGTCCGGAAGGAAGAGCGAGCTGGGGGAGACCGGGCTCGGGCAGAGGTGGCATGTGCCAAGGCCCTGTCGTGAGCCTGCACCGGGGCTGCTGGGGGGGCGGGGGCAGGGAGCCTGGTCCCGGAGCCCAGTGGCAGATGTGGGTGGGCTGGGGGCTGTGTGTGTAGGGCTGCCAAGGGGTTTGCCAGGGCACGTCCATGGCCCCCACAGACATCCCCCAAGGAGACCAGAGGACCCCCAAGGTGGGGCTTTGTCTCTTCAGAGCCCCAGGGCAGGGATGTTCCCCTCAGACCCCCAGGGTTAGTTGTGACCCCCTCAGACCCCCAGGGTTGACTATGACCCCTCGGACCCCCCAGGGTTGGCCGTGGCCCCCTAGGACCCCCCAGGGTTGGCCGTGGCCCCCTCAGACCCCCAAGGTTGGCTGTAGCCCCTCAGACCCCCAGGGTTGGCTGTGGCCCCATCAGACCCCCAGGGTTGACTGTGGCCCCCTCGGACTCCCCAGGGTTGGCTGTGCCCCCTCAGACCCCCAAGGTTGGCCGTGGCCCCTCAGACCCCCAGGGTTGTCTGTGGCCCCCTTGGACCCCCCCCCAGGGCTGGCCGTGGCCCCCTCGGACCCCCAAGGCTGGCCATGGCCCCTCAGACCCCCGGGGCTGGCTGTGACCCCCTCAGACTTCCAAGGTTGGCCCTAGCCCCTCAGAGCCCCAGGGCGCAGCCCCTTGGCCCTGGTTCTTGGCACCAGGAGGGCTCCACCCAGAGTGACCCCCTGCCTGCCCACCCAGCACTTGGCCACGTTCATCATGGACAAGAGTGAGGCCATCGTGTCCGTGGAAGATGCCATCCGAAAGCTGGTGCAGCTGAGCTCCAAGGAGAAGGTCTGGACACAGGAGATGCTGCTGCAGGTCAGCGACCAGTCGCTGCGGCTGCTGGACATGGAGTCCCAGGTATGGCGGCAGCAGGAGGGAGGGCGTTCGCCCATCCTGCAAGGCAGGCACAGGCAGTGACCCAGACGCACTGGGCCTCTGTGGGAGAGGGAGCAGGCCGGGGGCCGAGAGTACAGGGGAGCCACGTCGCTCAGGGACACGTCCACCTCACAGAGCTTCTCCACCGGCTGTACCGAGGCGGCGCCCGTTGTGTGCACGTTGCCCCGTGGGGTCCGTGTCCATGCCCATATCCAGGCCACGTTCCTTTTCCGTGCCAAATCCGTGGCATGAACGCCACAGGCCACGCCCACAGTCAGCCCACGTCCCCGGCATCCGCTCCTCGGGTCTTCCCCGTGCCCATGGCCGTGAGCCCTCCTCCGTGTCTGGGACTCTCGCCATGCACCACGGCGAGCCCGGTCCCAGCCGCCTGTCCCCCAGGAGGAGCTGGAGAACTTCCCGCTGCCGACCGTGCGGCACAGCCAGACGGTGCTGAACCAGCTACGCTACCCCTCGGTGCTGCTGCTCGTGTGCCAGGACTCAGACCAGAGCAAGCCCGACGTCCACTTCTTTGACTGCGACGAGGTGGAGGTGAGGGCCGGGCAGCGGGGGCGGGGAGCCCAGATCCCCCCGGAGAGCCAGCCTGACGCCCCGTCCCCCCAGGCGGAGCTGGTGCACGAGGACATCGAGAGCGCGCTGGCCGACTGCCGCCTGGGGAAAAAGATGCGGCCACAGACCCTCAAGTAGGGGGTAGGAGGGGCGGGGGGAGGGGCCGGGCCTGGGGCGGGGGCTGCGGCCAGGCTCAGCGGCCCTTCGTCCCACTCCAGGGGCCACCAGGAGAAGATCCGGCAGCGGCAGTCCGTCCTGCCTCCGGCCCAGGGCCCGGCCCCCATCCCCTTCCGGCGCTACGGCAGGGACTCGCCCTCCACCAAGAACCGAGTGGGCCTGCCCATGCCGCTTGGAGACCCAGGTGGGCCGAGGGGGATGGGCTGGGGGCAGCAGCAGGGTTGGGGTGGGGGGGCTCCGTCAGCAGCAGCTCTGCTCCCTCCCGTCCAGGCTTTCGCCGCTGGGAGTCGCAGGAAGAGGAACCAAGGGCCGTGCTGGCTCAGAAGATCGAGAAGGAGACGGTGGGTCTCGGCCGGCCGGCAGGACCTCCCACCCACTCCGGGCTCCTGGGGCCAGCCCCCAGCCAGCACCCACCCACTGCCCCAGGCCAGGGGCCAGGAGGCAGCGGGTGGGGGTGTCCCTGCAGCGGGTGGGGCGCCGGAGGCTGACCCCTGCCCCTGCTCTGACCCCAGCAAATCCTCAACTGCGCCCTGGACGACATCGAGTGGTTCGTGGCTCGGCTGCAGAAGGCTGCCGAGGCTTTCAAGCAGCTGAACCAGCGCAAGAAGGGCAAGAAGAAGGGCAAGAAGGGGCCGGCAGGTGCGGGGTGCGGGCGGGGGCATCGGGGCGCATGCAGGAGTGGAGGTGGGGGGCCCAGTGGCCCCGGGCGGAGCAAGGTCCAGTCTCAGCGGGTGGGGAACATCAGACTGAGGCCAGACCCGCCGGGGTCGCGACCGGCCGGCCAGGCTCACCCCCCAACCCCCTGTCCAGAGGGCGTCCTTACGCTGCGAGCACGGCCCCCCTCCGAGGCCGAGTTTGTTGACTGTTTCCGGAAGATCAAGCTGGCCATCAACCTGCTCGTGAGTACAGCGGCCCGCCCCATCCCTCCCAGCTGATATTGGGGGTGGGGTGCCTTGTCCCTGGTGCCACCCCACAGGTCGGCCTGCTCCCTGCCCACAGGCCAAGCTGCAGAAGCACATCCAGAACCCCAGCTCAGCCGAGCTGGTGCACTTCCTGTTCGGGCCTCTGGATCTGGTGCCTGGGGCTGGGGGGAGGCAGGGGCTGGGGCGGGGGAGCACGGGCCTGGGGGGCTTGCCCCCGACTTGGGGGGAAGCAAGTGCCCACCTTGGGCAGTGGGCTGGGGCCGGCGTCTGCACTCTGAGTGGGGGCCCAGTGGTGTTGCAGGCAGGCGCAGGGTGGGAGGGGGGCCTCTGACGCCCCGCTGTGCCCCAGATCGTCAGCACCTGTGGTGGCCCAGACATTGCTCGCTCCGTCTACAGCCCCCTGCTCTCCCGAGACACTGTGGGCTTCCTGCGCGGCCACCTGGTCCCCAAGGAGATGGCGCTGTGGGAGTCCCTGGGGGAGACCTGGACACGACCCCGGTAGGGTGGTGGCATGGGGCGCACACCAGGATGGGTCCCTCGGCGGGCGGGCTGGGGGCCTTGGGTGGGGCCAGCTCTGGTGGGTGGGCACAGCTCACCCCAGGACCTCCCACCCCAGCTCCGAGTGGCCTCGGGAGCCGCAGGTGCCCCCCTACGTGCCCAAGTTCCAGAGCGGCTGGGAGCCACCCCTGGACGTGCTGCAGGAGGCCCCCTGGGAGGTGGAGGGGCTGGCGTCAGCCCCCGGTGATGAGGTCAGAGCGCCTGCAGCCCCGCTTGCACTCCACCTCCGCCCACTGCCCTCACCGCCCCTCCCTCCTGGCCCAGCCCCTGCTTCACACCAAGTCCCGGTGTCGGCTTCCCCGCAGCCAACTCCAGTGAGCCGCACGTCCTTCAGAAACTCCCCAAAGCATGGCCTCGCATCTGAGCCCACACCCCAGGGAGACGTCCTCCCCCAAGTCAGCTCCCCACATGCTCACAGGTAAGCTCTGCTCAAAGTGAGGGAGTGTGACGCTCACCCCTCAAATCACGGAGGCTCTGCTATGGGTACACTGCCACCAGGTGGCAGCAAATGCCTTTTTCACGACGGTCAAAAACGCTTTCCACACTAGAGCCGGGTTTCCCTTCAACTTTGTGGTGTACAGTTGAGGGAAAAATGTCGAAAGCACCCATAAAGTGCTTAGATGACGTACCTAATACGTCATGTCTTTTTGTTTTTCCACGTTTATGCTTTAGAATCATGGTTAGAAATGTACTAAACCACTGAACTTAAATGGTCTCAACGATCCCAGTTGCCCTGGTGGGGCTGATTTAGGCCCAGCCTCAGAGCCAGAGGAGGAGACGGATGGTCTGGGTGGGCACAGCCTCTCTCCCTCTGGCCGCACACATTTCCACAGACCATGTCTTCCAGCCCCAGGGCCTGGGGGGACCCCCATCCTTCCTCCCCTCCTACTTTCTGTTCTCAGTCCTGGCCCAGGACCTGCCTGGGGAGCTCATTACTCACCAGACCCCAGGATTCAGTCTCAGGAGGGGAGGGGGCTGGAATCCATGTTTTGAACAAGTGTGCCCCTCCCTGTGCCCCACCAGCCTGATGCCCTTGGTCCCTGGCCTAGGGCCACCTTCAAGAAACATTTTCATCCTTTTACCTCCAGCCCTTGACTAGTCCACCCTGGCCAATCCTGACACGCACACCCACCAGGGCCCCAGAGGCTGCCCCAGCCCCAGAGCCCCCACTTACCCCGGGTCCCGAGCCCTGTACCTGTGTGAGGGGTGCCCTCGTGATCAGGGGCCAGGCTGACCAGAAGGGATGGCCCAGCACGGGTGGGAGGCACAGGCCTGCTCCGTGCAGGAGCTGGGACACCCTGGGACCCTTCGGCCCACGGGCGGCCCTGCGTTGTGTCTGCATTGCCGGAGGGACTATGGCTCTGAAAGCATCCAGCCCTCCCCCAATGGTCAGCCACTTTCCAGGGACGGCCTGTCCTTTCTCGGGTACACGCCTGGCTCTAGATCCCCTGGGGGGCTGGGCCTGGAGACCCCTAGGCCTCCAGGGCTAGGGGCTAGGGCAGGGCAGGCCGTGCTGTGCCCACAGACCCTTGCGTCCCATCTGCCTCCGCTGCCCCCCCACGCAGGGGGCCCCAGACGCAACGGGGCTGTCACAGTTTCCATCCCAGCTGACAGCTGCAGCCGCTGTGCCGCAGAACAGGACGCAGCCGTTCACCTGGGAAGCTGCTGCCCCTGGCCCTCCCCCAGGCCCAGGAAGAGACCCCAGCCCAGCCCTGAGCCTCCACCCCTCCCATTCCACACAGGGGCTACGAGCCCACACCGGCCATGGCCAAGTACGTCAAGGTCCTCTATGACTTCACAGCCCACAACGCGAACGAGCTGTCGGTGCTCAAGGACGAGGTCCTGGAGGTGAGTGGGGGCCGGGGAGCAGGCGGTGGTCCAGAGGTGGGATCTGCCTGACCCCAGGGCTCCACTCTGGGTCAGCAGCCTGGCACCTGCCCCAGCACAGCCTGGCTGAGGGGCCTCCCTGTCTTGGGGATCTCGGAGGGAGCCCAGGGGCCCCTGGGCTGGGCTGGGCTCAGGCTGAAGGGTGGGGTGGACCCTCCCTGTGCCGAGTGGGGGATCCCCCAATCCAGCAGGGGCTTGTCATTCATGCCCACCCCAGGAGCCCCCTCAAGGCACTTTCTGAGTTTTTTGTCCTGAATCCAGGCCACCCGCTGGGGGACAGAAAGTGGAGCAGCTGGAGGGGGGGTGGTGGTCTATATCCACAGCCAGGCTAGAGGCTTAGGAGGCTGCTGGGAGGGACGGGGAGGGGGGTGGCCCCTATGGATGGGTGGGAGGCCAGGTGGGCCAGGGGCACCTGGAGGGGGTGTGTAGAATGGGGAGGGGGGAGCAGGCTCAGGGGGACTCTGGAACTCTCTCTGGCCCATCGGTAAACAGCGGCTAACACCGGCGGTCCTAGCACCCAGCACTGGTGCCTATGGCGGGGCCGGGGTGGGGGGGGCGGGCGCTGTGGGTCAGGGGTGATGCGGGGGTGCGGCGCCCACAGGTGTTGGAAGGCGACCACCAGTGGTGGAAGCTTCGAAATCGCAGCGGCCAGGCAGGCTATGTGCCGGGCAACATCCTGGCCGAGACCCGGCCGGAGGACGCCCTCCTGGAGCAGGTGAGGCGGAGGTCTGCTCTGTGCTGCTGCAGGGTCAGGCCGGGTGGCCGGGGGTTGGTGGGGGGGGGGCAGAGGAAGATGGCTATTAAATGCAAGGCGCCA